GAGAGGAAGACAGAAAGAGAGAAAGGGAAGGTGAAGATAGAGAGAAAGCCATATGAGGAGAGGCAGAGAGGATGTGTGGACCGGGCTTTCTCTCACGTGCGAGTGCGAGCGATGCAAGCAAAATAGGAGCGTACGATATGCAGCCATTTGCATATATATAGGATCATTATAAATATACCGACTCCCTACAACCATGTCTCTCCATCGTCCAGCCCATCAGGAGCAGAGGCAGCTCACAAACTGTCCGATTGCTCCGCTTATCCGTTATTGCGCCCGTCGTCTTTGCTGTCACCACCTCTGCGCTTCGGGACGTTCCCAGGTCTCAGCGGTCGTTCCGGCTCTGAACAAGCGTTTTTCATGGATATTATAGCGGCTGCGGTACTTCCCTGCGCGAAACACATCCGGCGAGATTGCACGGCACACCGGCTGAAGTGTTAATTACGGCGTTATCGCCGCCAGAAGCCACGTTTGTTTGTTGTGCATTTCTTGGCGAATTTCACGGCAACAGTGGTGCGAAATGTTCTAGATGATATTTTCGTTAAATATTCGTAGAAGATCTTTAGATGCTAGTACAAATGTTACATGTACAAATAATTTTGTGCAAAATAACAAAATCTGATACTGATTGTGTTAATGCAATTAAATTAAATTTTCAAATTTTTATTTTTTGATAATATCTAATATAATGAACAAATACAAAAAGGAGAGATACATATAAAAATTAATATTTTTTTATAATTATAATATATATATATATATATATATATATATATATATATAGAGACTAACTTAATAATTTTTAATTAAATTTAAAAAAATTGAGGAAAAGATGTTTTGATACAAATAATATTTAGAATTCTCTATGCCGTGTCATGCCGTGTATATCGATTATGGTAGAAAAAATACCTCAAAATGCAGAGGTGTAAACACACGTGCTGCCATGCGACCGACACACGCACGCGATACGTCGTCCTCGATTATCCACAACTCGACGAAGTCGATAAGAACGCTTCATGCGAAAGCGATAAGTGCAAATCGCTTTGACCACTACGGCGCAGAGAAAAAAAAATCACAAAGCATCGACAAGCGGATGTAACGACTGCGCTTGCATGACATGTGAAAAGCCCCCTAATGGTGCATCTACTTCCACATATTATCGCAGCCTTTGGGAGCCACGGAAAAATATCTCGACGCCGAGCGACCGTAATCTTGCAACGGCTGCATTATAACACGGATGCTGCTACGAGCGCGCTGCTTGCGCGGGTGCATCCTATTAACATATTCACCAGCAACGAGTAGTAAACTCTTTTCTCCGCGTACGCGGGCACGAAACGGCGCTATAAATGGTACGTTGATGGGTTTGCGCCGAGCGCGTCAACGCTTGCGCCCCGAGTTAGGGGTAGATGCGCATTACAAATGCTAATGGGGAGCGCATAGTAGATGTTCCGCATAGAATACATTACCGTCTCGTTCCTCAGTCATTAGCCACGAAAATACGAAATTTCCTGGGCGCAATGTGTACACCGTATCTATCGTGCTCGTGAACCTGCTCGTTGATGGCAACCCGATGGAAGACTACCGACCGCGGGCGCTCTGAATTATAGATGAGTCGCGAGTCGCATTTAAAGTCTTTACAATTGTCGATTTTGCCTTCGTTGATCCGCGTCATATCTGTATTTTTCTTTTGCTGTCCAATGACAATAAAAACTTGATTAGAGAGAATATTTTAATAAAAAAATATATCCGTGGCAATTTCTTTTATTTTTACACATTGACATTTAAAGAGAGACTAGTAAAGTAATGAATATTCGGTACAAAAAAGAATAAGTCTGTAAATTTATATTTACATGTGAAATAAGTAATAAAATAAATGTTTTATTGAAAATAAATTATCTTTATATGTAACTTTAGTAATTACGTTACAATACCATAAATTTGATAAATATCTGGATATTTTACTTTAATAACACTTTTATATTATACTATTTGCATCACAATTATAAAATAATTATCTCAATTACAAATAAAAATAATTGTTACATAAAAAATATTAGCAATTGGTTCAGTAATTATTCGACCAATTTCTAAAAGACGAAGTTTCCATGGAAGCATGAGCGTGAACGTTGCGAGATTACTGAGTGGTCCGATGGGAATTTATTAATGAATTAATTACAAGCATGTGTGTGATTTTCTTCTACGACGATAACCGCCAGCAATTTTTAATTAACACGTGTGATAAAGGGAGCCAAATGACCGTACTGATCGATTCATTGGCGCATTAACCACATGCCTTTGGTTACATCTTTTTCTTAGTGAATTAACACAGAATGGAGAGAAAAATATTCATATCTTCTTTGAGATGTTTATAATCGAATAATATACTTTACTTTTATAATATTTTTAAAAATATCTTATCACATAATTATTTAGGATAGCCTTAAAACTAGAACGTATTAATAGATTATTTATTATTGTATATTATCTATTTTCGATATAAAGGATAATGTAGTATAATCTAAAAAAAAAAAAAAGAATTCGTGTCACGTTTGAAAAACAAAAAATCGAACCAAAAAGAACAAAAAGATATACATGATGACATCAACAACGGAAGTAACAGTAACTATTTCCGCACGAGAAACGGCGCTCTGCGCGCCCTCGGCCTCGGGATCGTCTGACCTACCCTCTCTTCCACCACTTCGAACGAAGGAAGGAACGAGCCAGACTCCTACCCTTTGCCACCCACTCGCCCCTCCAGCCTGACGGACCACCCCTCCAGTTACCGCTGCCGCCGCCGCTGCCGCCGTCGTCGCCACCACCACCGCGATACATTGCGATACAGGATTCTTGTCTCCACGCTGCCTATCTACGTGCAGGACCAGCGCTCCACCAAATCCATAGTCCATTACACCCTTGGCTACGAGACGTCGCGTCACACCACCACCCCGTATCCGCCTGTACATCCGCCATTATCATTTTTTTATCCGCCGCTTGTAACTCGCGCCGTGACACCTTCTCCCTCACCGCCACGCCAATACCTATACAATCACCAGTAAAGCATAAACACAACACGGTATCAGGACGCACGCGTACAAACAACCACGCTTACGAACCGGCACGCGCCCCCCGTCCCTCGTCGTTCTTCGGTACTCGTCCGAGAGACCTTGTTACGAAAGGTGTTTGCGAAAGTGACGGTGTTTTTCGGTAGTGCGTGACAGCAAATTCGACGATTGTGACAAGATGCTTTGAGTGCGTATATCAAGTGATTATTTTGGTGTGGCAACGTAACATCCTTCCAAAAACACGCGTTATAGAATTGGGATCTATCTGCGGAGTAGTGCTTCTGCCCGACGGCTAAATGTCTTTTATGGCCTAGCGAGGAATACAAGGATTTCTGAGATTTTCAGTGATATTATTAATCATCGACATTACTGACTTAAATATATTAATTAATGCTGACTTATTTAACGTACAAAGATTATTTATATTATTTTAATTATCATAAGACAAAAAAATAACATTAAATTAAATCTTATGAAGATATCGCGGAAAAGATCCTGATATTTTGAAAACAATTTATTTTATGTTCTTAAGAATTTGAATAAGAAACGTTGATTGATATCTGGTTTGTGCCTATCGAGATAAAAGGATTTATATTTTGAAGCAGCTGCGACAATCTTTGGATAATTCGATTGACGGGATAAGCGCGCACCTGATACCCCACGCAGTCTCTCGTACATCTCGACTTCTTCTCATCATTTAATCGATTTACTCACCGAATCATGTTCCACCCTTTTGTCTTGATTATCCGCTCGTATATCTTGCCGCAACACAATTAAATTTCTAAGCGCACAAGCGACGACATTTATCCAATTCCGGCCCAATCTCGTTCTAGAAGTGAGAAGTGATCGAAACAGACTTTCCCTCGTTACCATCAACTTCCGTGTTAACATATAAACATCAGCTCGATATCTCGGAAATTTGCGTGTTTGTGACGCGCGGGGCCTGTTTAAAATTCACGACGCCGAGATTTCATAAAAACTTCGGGCGCGACGTTGACAACGAGACGCAGGGTGAAAGTAGTTAAACTCAAGCTAGTACGAGCCACGTGAAACTGGTCGCTACTTCACCGGGTCGCACAGATCCTGGAGGCTTGAAAGCCCCTGGTTTCCCGCGCATAGCACGAGCGAAGCACACACAACCACCCCAACCAACCAACCGACGAGTCGACCCACCGCCACCAACCCCTACACACAACAACCCAACGAAGCATCCCCCACTCTGAATCGCACAACAGCCTGAGCGGAAGTGCTAGTCAGTCGGCGAGCGACCTTCCAACATTACGGGTTAGGTTTCCTCTTTTTCCACCCGTCGTGTCTTTAACCTCATTTGTACGATCGCGAGGACCGGCCGCTTTGTTTGATTTATCCGTGAAGGAAGCAGAGAAAGTCGCCGCAATTAAGGGTGTTGATCCTCTTACAAAGATCAAAAGTAACTGCCGCTTTTTATTTCATATGTCACTCGCGCGGCAATACCGTTTAAATCAGATTTCTATGATCCATACCTATCATACCTGAAAGATATTTAGGGCAGCGTAGAAAGAAATAAAAAAGATAAGGTGCTCTCTCTCTCTCTCTCTCTCTATATATATATATATATATATATGAACGATTAGTGATTATCGTTCTTCTAATTGTGCGTGTATCGCGAACCTCGTTCTTTCCTTGCAACGCGTTTATAAGCGAAAACCTTCGTGCAACGCGTGCGACTGCTAGTGTTGTTCACCATAGTCTAGTCATCATCTGGAAGATTTTACTAGGTTTTATTATAACGAATAACATGCAATTGCGAGTTATAAAGTACTTATGGTAGACGTACATGCTGCAGCATCTTCAATTATAAAGCGGGAACACACATTTTATGACTTATATTGCCGAATCAACTGACATAGGGCTTCCAGACAGATTGTTCCGTTACAGACTCCTGAAACTGAAACACATGCTCTGCCGACTGCTAGGAAGACATCGTCAGTTTAAATTTGTCAGTTTAAACGATGCGATAAAACATATTCAACAATTGTACTATCGTAAACAATAATAATTGAGTCCTGAAGCCCGTTGTCCCTAATTTAATACTTAATAATTGTTAATGCGATAATTTGTCTTGGGTATTTGTTTCAAAGGAAAAAAAATTTTTTTGACAAGAAAGTAATTACAAACTTTTTTAATTGCGGTGACGTATTATACACATAAACACATATTTGCAATCCACAACCATACCGGCATTCTAACTGATATAGATTACTCAAGTCGACCACGTGGCCGTGAAGTGAGCGTCGACTGCGCCAAGAGTATGTGGTAAACAGATTCCCAAGGAACAGGATTCAATAAAACCTAGCGTATTTCTCGAAAACATTTCCTAGAAAGTCGTAACAAACGTAAAAAGGCAGTTCTTGACACAATCGCATCGTTTTGTGATAAACAGCGGTGTTGTAATCAGTGTTAACAGAATTTAAAAACTGAAAACATCGGCAATTGAATCTGTTTATTAAAAGTTTCTTTTCTTCGTTAGAAAGCGGCAGCAAGAATTGTGATTTTTCATTAATTTATTTAAAGTAAACAACTTCCCACGTGAGTGTTGGTATCGTGATACATATTTGAGAAATAAAGTCGAAGTGAAGCGGTTGAAGCTTTCTTTGTTAATTGTTATCACTTGATCCAAGAAAATTTGGAACAAATCAAGAATCAGCGTTTGCTACGTGCAAGTTCAGAGTAAATCACCCCGAGTTAACAGCAAGGTAGCAAAATCCCGCCCGCAGGCAATCGTGAGCTTAAAGAGGCCCAAGTTGAAGTTATTCAACCCGGCTCAACGATCGACGTCAACAGGACGTATCAACAGACCTCTCAACAAGAAGGGTGGGTGCAGTGGTGCAGTGGTTGCCGGAGGGCCAGCGAGCTTGGGGTGGCCTCGTCCACAGGCGCCTTGGCACCGAGCGCACCGGGCCCCGGGGCTGCGGTGGTGGGTTGCCTGGTTGGGGTGTACCCGTGTTCTCCCTCCTCCACGGGGCCCAGGGGCCCCTTAACTCATCATCTCCAGGCTATCCCGAATCAGCAACAGCCGATCGGCTGCCGTGCCTGTTGCTGCGTGCATAGCAATCACCAGCCAGCTTCAGTCCAGCTTACTAGTCAGGCGGGGCGTCTATCGCTGAGGGTAGCGGAGGGTGGCGTCCACCCCTCCGTCCGAGCCGTCCCCTACGCCCACCCCCAGCACCAGGGGCTGGGGCAGGAGTGCAGGTAATGATAAATCATTAAACATACATTGTAGTCTTCACTTCGACACGTATTACTACCCTACTACTACTACCACTACTAGTACCACTACCATTACTCTACCTCTACTACTACCACTACTACTACTACTACTACTACTACTACTACTACTACTGCTACGCTTCTACTCGTCGTCGTCGTCGGCAGTACTTGATAAAAGTAATATAATAAAAGTAACGATATACACACGTAGTATCACGCCGAAATTAATAAGAAAAAAAAACAAAAAACAAAAACACGGTTGATGGAGTAAAGAAAATTACCCAAAACCAAATACGCACGAAAAAGGTGTAGGGAGGAGACGGGGGCATTGGGTGGAGGTGGTGCGCACATCCTCGGCAGCCCGATGCTGTTCGTCCCGTTCACGGTACCCACCTTCCCTGCGACGCACCATCAGACGACTTATCCTACGCATCAGTCGCATCATCAACAGCTGCAGCCCAACACTCAGAATCCGGTGCAGCAGCCGCAGCAGCTCACCCAGTTGAATCAGCTGAGCCATCTAAATCACCAGGGCATCGTGCCGGCGACGACCAATCAGCCAACTATACACAGCACCAGCTGTTCGCCGCAGCAACAAGCAACGACACCGAATAAGGTAAAAGATTATTCGATTACTTAATGCAGATGTATATACAAAAGAAATGTTCTGAAAATATCAGAGAGTATTGACTTGCTTGGAGAATATATTTCGTAAACAATTATCATACCGCGAAAAATATTATAATAGTATGATTATATTGTTCTTTTGCTCGTATACGTATTAATAATACTAATAACATTAGACACTTATACGTATATGTGTTAGAAAAAAATGCCGTAATAATGTGTTACTGTGTAAATATTGAAATAATGGATTTTATTATGTAAAACATAATTATCTACACATAAGACGATTCACGTTAACCACTTAAAAAGCGTGCTTAATTTTATAAAATTCGCTTAGATTTCTCTAATACAGCATTGAAACGCATTCAAATCTTTTGATAATAACAACCTCTACATATATATTTCATTATTATATAATCAATTATTATTATATTATCAATTAAGTTATTGCATAAAATTATAAAGTATCGTTGCTGTAGAATAACATTAATAATAGAAGTTAAGACAAGTAAGGAGACTATTAATAACAGTATTATTTATTGTGTGTCAGAGTCTCTTTTCATAATTCAAACATTGATTTGAATGTATTACGAAAGTATTATTTTGAGTTTCCTTAGATAAACTTAAATTATCATTGATAGTAAATAAAACAGAATTAATAAACAAATCAACTAATGACTATCTATAATAACTATGGTATGAAAAATACATGTCTTAGTCATAACATCAATATAATAACCATATAATATTAATTATTTTATTATTTTCGCATTAATATCAAAACAAGATAAAATTATCATAAACCGAACATATTATATATCGTGTTTATTCGCACGTGTCATGCTTAATGTTTAAAAGTGAGAACATATAGACATCAGCATAAACGTAGATAGAGAGCAAACATAAAACAGACAAACTGTTCCGATCAAAATAACGCAATATTCACGTCGCGCTTAATATCGTTCGTAATATCGGTATTGTAATACAAGTTTCGAAGCGTAGTAATAGATATATTTATTAACATTGAGGCCGACAGCCACGATCTATAATCTATATAACGAGGAGGATTTTCCTCTGGCCGTTCACGAAGCCAAACGACCTCTTCCTTACCGGTATCGCCCATGGTGTTGAGATTGTTTCTTCATTTTTCTCGCCCGCGCTTTCTCGCAGCTATGCGCTTTTATTATCCTGGCGTAGATTCAAGTCAATTTTCTTTAGCAAGCCATAACTTGCCGGAAGATTCTCCTGAGAAGTACAGCAACTGATGCGCCATAGTACGAGCAAGACGTCACGGTGTTGGCAGCGGGAACGCGGTTTAATTCTTGAAGTCTGGCAATCCACGGGTGGTGCTTCCTCTTCCGAAGGTTCGTCTCCATGTAGTCCCTGTAGCTGTAGCACACTTTGAAAAGATCTTCAACCCTTTCCGCTCTTGGCGCCGACACGCCAATGAGGGGAAAATATGTATCGCACTAGTTATCAATTATAATATGCTCGACTAAAAGAATTTACACATACG